ATTGGGCTGTTTGTGAGGGGATTAGGTTCTTCTCTGATGATTCCCAATGCATGCAGTTCTTTTACCATTTTTTCCATTTCTGCCACTGCATCTGGGTGGAGAGGGTACTGTTTTACAGGTGGGTGTACCCCCCCTACAATGTGTGGACAAAATTTTTTGCCCAAGTCACCACAATCATTTTTGAAGTGGGCGACTCTGGCTGATTCAATTATTTGNGACGTGACATGTTCGTACGAACCCTTTGTACGAACAAAAGTAAGAGAAATTTAGGATAAGAATACGAACATGTTCTTGCATGAGGCCCATTGTGTCTATATGATAAATCTTAAAACGTTTTCCTAGTAACTAGACACTTTTTCACTCTTTACAGACATGCCAGACATGTTCCGACGAGTACTTCCGTCTTCATCATGGAAGAACTCGTTGAAACATGTCAGGTATGTCTGTAAAGACATAAAAATAATTAAGTATCTGGTAACTAGGAAAAAGTTTTAAGATAAGTACAGTCCATCTACTATTTTTATTGATCGATTTTTAATATGTTTTTATGTACGCTTGTTAATTTCAAATTATTTCAGTGACCATTGTAGGTTTTTTGATCGTTAACAGAGAGGTACCAACAATTTAGTTAATGTGTGTAACTTTCAAATGTATTTAACAGTGTAGTTGGTTGATTTAAATCTTTACTTCTTTGGTATTTACACACAGCACTCTGCTATAGCTCTACAAAGCTAATCCAGATAAATCGATCCATAGAGACTAATCAGTGCTTTAAATCACACTCATACACTGATGGGACACATCAGAGACAGTGGGGGTTCAGTGAGTTGCCCATGGACACGTGGACACATGACTGAACAGTCGTGGAATCTAACCACCAACTCTCTCATTGGAGGACTCCCCTAACCACTCAGCCACAGTCACCTCAAATCACAAATTGCCTGCATATTTAAAAAAAAACAACTAATGAAACAGGCCTAGACAAAAATGATGGTAAATAAAGTGTAAAATAACAACATGATTACCAGGATCTAGACTGAACACACACTGGAGCCTGGTAATTCTGTCAGGAAATATCACAGCATAACTCCATCACTTACAGCAGCATCTCCTGAAATGAATAAAACACTGAAACAACCTCATATCTGAGTGATAGTAAACTATATTCACACAATAATAATTTACATTATTAACCTTAGATGTGTCCACTCCTGTTTGTAAAATAACAGAAGCTCCCTGTCCTCTTCAGAGTCTCACATCCTTTTTCATTTTCCCAGATGCATGCTCTCTTAGTAGTGTTTCCCAGAAACCTTTGGCAGCTTGACWTGGTTCTTTAATCAGCCTCCAGTCTAGAAGACAATAAATGAAACAATTCAAACAGACAAACTAATTCAGTAGATTAGTTTGTCAAAGATAAGGAATTTTACAAATCAAAACAAGGAAGAAACAGAAATCACTTCTTTACCTTTTGTTATCTGAAAGTATAATAAAGCCTTGTCACAATAACATTTTAGACAACTTATGCCAACTTAATTTTTTATGTCTAAATTACTAACAAAAGTTACTGATCAATTTGTGTTAGCATTAAAGTATGAACAGATGTAAAAGAGGCTTCTAGTTGAGTTTTTTTAATTCCATCTAAAGTAAATAACTTCTATATTTACAATAACTTCTATATTTTTACAAATTGTCTAAAACATTATAGTATGACAGGGACATTAGTTTGAAAAGTTATGACGTCGAGGTAACAGAACAAGCACCTTAACTAGTAGTAAGTTATAAATGATGTAATATGTTGCTTTTTTCATTGACTAAACTTACAAATCCTGTTTCAGTATAGGTTTTGTCTAAACCAATAAAATAAAACATCATCCACCTGATGAATCTATCAACTAATGAGATTTCTTACCAAGAACGACAGAGTACAGAACTCCTTGCAGTCCTCTGAATGGTAATGTCTTATTGGC